CAAGCTAAATATCAAAGTCCTCTGTTAATGCATTTGGGCTCTCACATAGCCCTGGAATATTTTAAGTTTAAGGGACTGTTAGCTGACCTCCTTTGGACTAGAAAAACTTCAGAATTGTGCCCACTGTGTGCTGAGCGATTGCTAAAACAGCTAAATGCATTTTCTGTATAAGAGATTTAGGAAAGATGATGCCTAAAGCCTGAAAATAGATTTGTTTGTCACTACACACCAGGGAACATCTATTGTTTGGAGAGGATTGCATAGGTGTTCCATTTATGTTTCTCCAAATATTAACTTTCTGGCTAGGGCAGTGGTGAAATCCAATCTTTTTTACTACCAGTTCTGTAGGCGTGGCTTGGTGGGCGTGACAGGGGAAGGATACTGCAAACTCTCCATTCCCACCCCACTCTGGGGCCAGCCAGAGGTGGTATTTGCCAGTTCTCCGAACTACTCAAACTTTCTGCTACCGGTTCTCCAGAACCTGTCAGAACCTGCTGGATTTCATCCCTGGGCTAGGGGCGCTATAATAGCAAAGCACAGAACAGAAAGTTGATCAACCAAATCAGCATGCAGGACACGCATCTCCACACAACACACAGTTGGGATTTGGGAGGTGTACACATTGGCCCATCTTCAGCCATCTGCAACCTATACATACCCATCAACCCCTTTGCAGTGTAGGTATGCAACGACCCCTAAGCCCAGTTCTGGTCAACTCTAAATCAAGCTTAAGTGGCATTGCTCTATTTGTTGGGCACTGATTGTCCATCTGTATCTAGTGCTGCTTCTACCAAAGAAGGCCACCTTTGTTTTAGAGTAAGTTGTTTTAACTTTTGCTCTTTTACAATATGCAGCTAATCTGGTCAATAATCTTCTATTCTTGTTTTGACGTGGGGCAGCATGGTGGCTCAGCAGTTAAGATGCTGGGCTTGTTGGCCAGCAGCTCAGGAAAGCCAGCAGCTCTGGTTCAGCTTGTTGGAAAGCCAGCAGCTCAGGTTCGGGACCTGAGTGCCACATGACAGGGTGAGCTCCCATTACTTGCCCCAGCTCCTGCCAACTTAGCAGTTGGAAAGCACGCGAGTAGTTAAATATGAATAGATAAATAGACACCACTTTGGTGGCAAGGTAACAGCATTCCGTGACATCATGCTGGCCACATGACCACATGACCATGGAAATGTCTTCAGGCACTGCTGGTTCAGTGGCCAACGGAGATGAGCACTGCCCCTTATAGTCAGCAATGACTAGCAGAGTAAAATCCGCAGGGACTCCTTTACCTTTTTTTAAACTTCTTTTGACACAGCCCATAATTCCATTTTTTTAAAATTTGCAGCTGCACCCCTCTGTTGTGTCCTATTTAGCTCATTATCCCCCAAGATACTGAAATCCTTTTGGCATCCTTTGCTGTCTAGGTTGGTCCTCCCATTCTCTACTTAGGCCTTTGATGTTTCCAATAAAAGACTTTGCATATCTCTTGCGTCTTACTGGTTTCTACTCATTTTTCCAGCTTGTTAAGATACTCCCGAATCTTGGTAGTCTCCTCTAAGATATATTGCTTGCTCCTTTCTTTCTATCATCTGCAAATTGGACAGAAACTGTATTTTCTAACCCCTCAGTCAGGCTATATATAAATATGTTAAACACAGCAAGACCTGGAAAATAGCCCTGTGATATACAAGTCAACAACTCAAACTACACAACACTCATCTTGCCATGGAGCTATTGATGCACACTCCCTGTGTAAGATTGTGCAACCAATCTTTCCATCAGATTAGCAACTTCTAGAACAGGGAGCCCTCATTTAGAGACTGACAGACTTGGTTGTTAAGAAAAGCAGTCTCTAAGTGAAACTGTGTTGTGCTTATGATGTTGTCTTTGCTTTACAGATCTGTGAAGGATGTAAATGGGAGAATTGCTCTTGAAGGTTGTTTGTTTGTTTTCATCATTGTCGCAACTCCATCCAGTTGCTAAACAAGGCAGTTAACAATAGGGACTGCCAAAGTCTCATAGGAGACTTCGTTGAATATTTTGATTAAGTCAAGATATTTACCACATTCCTCTGATTATAAAAAAAGAAGCTCAGGTTGATTCAAAATGAATATATTTATACGTTGCTGAGTTGCATTGATTGAATAGCTTAGGTATTGCTTTACAATTTTGCTTCTGTACATTTTAATCTTATTGGTCTCAATAAATACATATTACATACATTATTTATATGTCTGTAATTTTATATTTAGACACATTCACAAATATAAATATTTATATCTATGTCTTATATTTGGATTTATGTGGTTTTGGAGTAGGGGTAGATCTAGTCCATTATCACACTTCTAGAATCAGTTTTTCCATGGATAAAGGAGCAGAAATAGTTTGACTTGAAAGCTGCTTCCAGAATATACTAAATTTTGCTGATAAATCAACAGTTTGACTCACTATTAAGAAGCTTTGGGCATAACATCATCCACACTCGTACGTTAATATTAATTTAGGAGGATGATAGCAGCAGTTTAAGAACTTTAAAAAAAACTTTCTATGCCACATGCTATCAGTATGTTTAAAGCCAAGTTCTAAACTGAATAAATAATCCGGGATACAATCCAGTATTAATTGGACTTGGACTAATTGATCTCCCATGTCTTTTCCGAGAAATAAAACAAGCTCTTTGTGTCTCCCTTAAAATGAAAAATGCATAGCTCAATTTTAATGACATTTTAAACATTTCCATTTAAGAAAAGATGAAGTATTTATTTAGTATATAGCTGCTTCTGCAAAAGCAAAAATATAGGCTAACAAATCATGATTTAGAAAGGCAAGTTCTTTTATTCTTCTGTAGCTGTAGATTGGCAAAGAAATGGGGAACATCAGGAGAGCATTGTGCGTCAGCAGCTGAACAATTTTTAGCATTCTGCATTTTTACTGATTCCATTGTAAATAGGCCAAGTTAACCTCAACTAGCCATTGTAATTTCTCAGCCAATACAGGCCTGGAAAAGCCCTTTGGCTGCTGATACTAGTTTTACATTTTGGAAGCCTATTGAGAGATGCAAAGGAATGAGGCTGGTACCAATGAAGGAGAATATCTGTAGCTCAGGGTTGAAATGAAGGGTCCCTGGTGCTCATGGAGCTTGGTTGTTTCCTTGTAGACATTTAATTACCCAAACTAGGTAACATCATCAGTGCTATGAAGCTGGATTATTTTCCTGGATTTGGGAAAGGAGTGTTACAAATTTTATTAATGAAACAAAGAAAAAACAGTGCCTGTTGCCGAATTACTACAATAAGCAACTGGTCATAACTAGCAACCGTGGTTTCTAAATAGAGACATACATTGTTGTCTGTCTCAAAATATTGTTCAGTCAATTCTTGTACAATTCTTGGCACAGTGGTTAGAATGCTGTTTTGCAGACTGATTCTACCCACTGGCAAGAGTTCGATCCTGACCGGCTTAAAGTTGACTTAACTTTCCATCCTTCTGCGATAGGTAAAATGAAGACCTAGATTGTTGACTCTATAAACCTCTTAAAAAGGACTGTAAAGCACTATGGAGTGGTATATAAGTGCTATTGCTATTGCTACATTGGGATATGGTTAGAGACATGTGGATACATGTGGTAAGGTTAAACTAAAGGATATAAAAACATGAAAATTATAGCAATTAGATTAATCAATAATTCTGCATCTTTCATTCTGCAACTATCAGGCTGACTTCACAGGCAGATCTTCCTTGCTTGATGCCGAAAATAATCTGCATTTCAATGTATGACACTTGTTCAAATCCACAGGTGTTTTTCAGAACCAAGGATGCTCTTGGATCTGCTATATCTAAGCTATTGATAAAAATGCACAGAAAAAAGGGGAGGAAGAATTCGGAGGCAGGGCTTATGTGCAAAATGTTATTGTTTACTTGCATCAACTTTGCAAGAATATCTGCAGGATGAGACACAGGTTTCTGCTCCATTCATTTTTTCAATCTCACATCTTTTAATTGGATCAATGCAGGTAGTCCTTGCCCTCCGACCACAATTGAGCCCAAAATTTCTATTGCTAAGTAAGACAGTCGTTAAGTGAATTTTGCCCCATTTTACAACCTTTCTCATCCCAGTTGTTAAGGTAATCACTGCCGTTGTTAAGTAGTAACATGATTATCAAGTGACTCTGGCTTCCCCATTGACTTTACTTGTCAGAAGATCACAAAAGATTACATGACCCCAGGCCACTGCAACTGTCATAAATAGAGGTCACTCGACAATCACATGACCATGGGGATGTTGCAACGATCATGTGAAAAATGGTCATAACTCACTTTTTTCAATGCCATTGTAACTTTGAACAGTCTCTCAGAGGTCTGAGCTCTGGACCTAAACCACAATTAGGATGCCACTTGCTCCGGGTTCCAAATGGTTTATTAGACCGGATTCTCAGCACACAGTGAGTTCCATCAACAAAAGCTTTGGAATAAAGTTAGCGTTGGGAACTTCCACCTCTCAGCTCACTTTGAAGGCTGGAGCTGTGCCCTTCCGCACGCTGGAGCAGCTGACCATCCAGCAGATCCAGTCAGCTGATCTCTGGAACTCTGGTAGATTCAATCAGCTGCTCGTCAGCTGGCTTTCAGACCCCGATCAGCTGATCGTTGGCCAGCATGTAGTCTGTCGGGATCAGCTGTTCATCAGCCGGCTCCGTGTCACTCACCACTTGTAGCCTCCAGCAAAGCTCTTCCCAACACCCACCTCCTGTGCTGGGGTCCCTCCCCCAAGTATGGCAAACACTGGATCGGGGTTTGATACAGTCACTAAAAACAAACGGTAGTAAGTCAAGGACTACCTGAAGACAAAGGGGGTTACAAAGTTGTACTTGTTTTTTTTGTCTGAGTTTCATTAAGGTGTGCTAAATCTTAAACCTTAAAACCACCAGGCAGCATACAGTTTCAAGGATAAAATGTCATAGCGTACAACTCTCATATAAGAACAAGCTTTAAAAAAAATCCACTCTGAAACAAAATATCTGAAGTAATTTAGTATGTCTCCTATGGTGTGATACAGAAGATTGGGCCCGAAGTGAGATGTAACAGTTTTGCCATAGATGTAATTCTCTTGAATTTCTTCTTTTCTGTATTTCTTTCCAACGTGTATAGAGACTTCAAACACAGATCAGAAACCATTCCAATGTATTAAGCCTGTCAAAGAGAAGAACACCAAGAGTTCAAGCTTGAAGGAAAGGAAACTTCTGAATGTACGGATTGTAGAAATCAGCCCTGAAGGAAATATCTGTGGTATCATATAGGTTCAGTAAAAATAATAATGTCTGCCCATCTCAGAACACTGGAATGTTACATCACTAAGAAATCTTTGGGCACAATTGAAAAACATAAACAAAAACCTGACATACCTGATATTGGTAAGAAATGTAATATTATTCCTCCATGAAACAATGATAATTGTGAAGGGAGGGAGGGAGGGAGGGAGGGAGGGAGGGAGGGAGGAAGGAAGGAAGGAAGGAAGGAAGGAAGGAAGGAAGGAAGGAAGGAAGGAAGGAAGGAAGGTTTCTGAGTCAATCCAAAGCAAACTTGGAACCAGGGGCATTTGTGGGTGGAAGTTTAAAGAAGTCAGGAAAACAGCTGTGACCCTGTGGATGAACTCCTGCCCCTCTTTAATGTATGTGATACATGTAAAAAAGAGGCAAAGTTTCAATTATGCAGTCATAGCTGCCATCTTAACTTCTTAATTCCCCATTCCCACCCCACAGAAACCCCTGCTTGGAACATAAAGGCTGCTCCTCAAAAGCATCTTCCTTGGTTGTATAGATGCTAAACCAGATGTATCTTCTCCTGGCTTCTAAGTTTCAGAATACTGAAAACTTGTGCATCCTCTTAGCTATGGGAGATATAGGAAGTTTTCTGTTAAAAAACAAAACATGTTAGATCAGGGATCCGCAACCTTAAACACTCAGAGCCATTTGGACCCGTTTCCCACAGAAAAGAAAACACCGGGAGCCACAAAAATCTTCCCGTGCCTGACTATTTCTTAAGCAGCCACAAAACTAGCATATGTAGTTGAATTAAATGTTCTGTTTTCTTCTGAAACGTTTCTTTTCTTGGATTTATCCATGGTTGGCCTACTGGGGGTTGAAAAGTTCAATAAATCGCATGCTGGCGGGTATCGCACATTGGCGGTTGTGACTCATATTTTGAATGACAGGGAATCGCAGCAGAGGGGTGAAAGAGCCACATGCAGCTCCAAAGCCGCAGGTTGCTGACCCCTGTGTTAGATTATTACTAAGATACAAAAATATTTGAACAGTAATAGATTTTCAAGATGGTAATTATTTACTAAAGAGGAGGGAGGGAGGGAGGAAGGAAGGAAGGAAGGAAAGAAGGAAGCTTAAAAGCATCATACATTTAATACCCTAGCAAATTTGTTTTCATATAAGCTTTGTGGTTTTCCATCACTTTATCAGATTCATAGAGTAAAGAAAGAAGTTTTATAAACAAGGGAAAAAAGTTTTCTAAATGCACAGTTCATGTTAGCCTTGAAAAATAAAGAAAGGTGAGACAGGGAGAAGAATTGAACGGAAGAGGCTGAATTTCTGAAAAGGCTGAAGCTCAAGTTCTTAGGATGCTAATCATGAATAATAGTGAGAATAAAAGAATCCTCTTTCCAGAGAAGTGTCTCTGTCAGACCTTTTCAATGAGAGCTACCAAGAGTCTTATGTTTCCTCAAAAGGCAGTAAATCCATTATTGTGACTTTTATTATCCTGAGAGAGGCATATACTTATAGAATCAGTTGTTTAGGGGAAGAGAGGAGATGATGAAGGAAAACACCGATTCTAAATACTAGAATTTTTACATTGTGATAAGAAGCTATACTCCTTAAATTCAAGAGAAAAAACCTCTCTCTCCAAATAAATAGTTATTCCAAACCAGTTATTGTAAGTATTTTTGAGAACTGCAGTGCTTCCTCTGCAATCGTTTTGTTGCCTTTTCTGAATTAAATGTGTGTTCCTTCCTTCCTTTCTTTCTTTTTTTCCTTTCTTTTCTTTTCTTTCTTTTTTTTGGTTTAGCGACTGGCTAGTTTGTCCAATGTCAAGTTTAATGGAGCAATCACTGAGAGATGATGGCATCTATCAAGTTGGGGGATGAGCATGGGTATGTTCTCTCAATCTCCAAGAGCAGGAGGAGAAGGAGGAAGGAAGGAAGGAAGGAAGGAAGGAAGGGAGGGAGGGAGGGAGGGAGGGAGGGAGGGAGGGAGGGAGGGAGGAAGGAAGGAAGGAGAAGGAAGGAAGGAAGGAAGGAAGGAAGGAAGGAAGGAAGGAAGGAAAAGTTCCATATGTCATTGGAGCTCATTCTTGTTTGAGGAGGAGGACAACTTCAATCTCTTCTTTTCCACCACAATAATATGAGCAACATTTTGCTTACCTGTAAAAAGGCTCGAATAAATTCGGCTCCTAACCCTCTGACAGTGTTTGGACTAGTGATTCCATTTTCGCATAATGAACTCTCCAAGGGTTTTGGGCCTTCAGCATTTTTCTATACCGGAGCAGGCCAAAAGAAATCTTTTCTTAGCTGAAACTTCACAAATTGCCTGCTTAAAACAACTACTGCAGTTCAGTATATCAGGTTTTAAAGAGAGGCAGTCTGGCATAAACTTTCAGAAGCTCCATATTGTTCCAGTAAATTGTAGTTGTGCCAGATCCTAAGGGGTTTTATATCTCTGCCATAAACAATATGAATTTAAAAAAAAAAAAACAGAAAGGAAACATTTCCTGAAGGGTTTGTCCTTCCCTTTTCTCCCCACTTTGCAGTTCAGTGCTGGCCTTTTCGAAACTGATGTGCCCAGATGCAGTCATTGCTTCTTCCCATTCTCTTTTACTCGATGAATTTCGGCAAGTTTGTTGTAGCAATTATCCTTAGAAGATAAAGGCACAAGTTAAGATCTTGAAATGCACTTGGAAAGCTGCAAAAACATACACCGCTCTGACAGAAAACTGCACTACAATAAATAATACTTATCATCAAAACACAGACATCTAAACAGCCAGCCGGCTTCTACATGTGATAATGTGATCAGACGGAGACAACTGAAGGGAGGAAGCTGTTTTTGCTGAAGGAAGATTTCTGTAATAACATTGGGCTTTTTGATAAAACATTCTTTGCAGATGAATAGGCTTTGATACTGCTGAAGGGACTTTCTTGGATCAGGGTTTCACAATTAATGCAAAATTAGCTCTTGGGCTTCACTAGGCAAAGCAGAAGGGTAGTTCAAAGGAATGGGGGTGGGGGAGAACAGCTGGCCAATATATTTATCATAATGGGTGGATCATTACATGGCACTGAAAGCAGGATGTCTCAGAGGAACTGATGGAACCAGATAATCCTCGGAGAAAAATGTGCTTTATCATTTCCGCTGGCAATTGAAAATAAGAGAACAGCCGCACCAAACGTGTGCCTTCCAGATGTGTTTGGATTATAACAACCAAGAACCCCAGCCATCAAGGCCAGTGACAATATCTGATTCCTCTTCCTTCCAGCTGTATCCATTCAAGCTGCTCCAGATAAGATTACAGTACAATATTAAAAATGTATCACAAGTGGTCCTTAAAAGAACCTTATAATCTTGAGTGCCATCTACTGGTGGAAAGATAGGATATCAGTCTTAGAAGGATGCAAACTTAAGGTGCCTGTGTGTTTTTGTTCTCTGTTTTTCCAATTCCTTTTTTTCTTATTTGGATATGTCTTTTTTAATATTATAATCTTAAGAATAGAGACTTGGCTTTCTTTTTGTTAAAAAAAAATGATATGTACTATTTGTTAGTCGGTGGTTTTTCCAGCTAAGGGGTGGCTAACATACAATAGGGCCACAATCCTATATGGACCCAAGAAAAATATATATACATAAAACTCTCAGGCAGAGGAAGATTAGAGAAAGAATTCCTAATGATTCAAAGACTATCCCGTGATCATTCTCTTTCTTGCATAGTCACTGCATAAAAATGTATTAATAGAAATGTGATTTCAGTGGTTGATTGATTAATTGATTGGTCATGTGCCATAATCATATGTTTATTTGTCAAGCATATATAAGATAATAGATAAAAGTATAAACATAATTTGAATACATGAAAAGAGTAAGTAAAAAGGACTATTAGGACAGGGATGGTAGGCACGCTGGTGCACTTATGCACGCCCCTTACAGACCTCTTAGGAATGGGGTGAGGTCAACAGTGGACAGTTTAAGGTTAAAGTTTTGGGGGTTTGGGGAAGAAACTACAGAGTCAGGTAGTGCACTCCAGGCATTGACCACTCTGTTACTGAAGTCGTATTTTCTGCAGTCGAGTTTGGAACAGTTTACCTTGAATTTGTATCCATTATTTGTTCATGTATTTTTGTGGTTGAAGCTGAAGTAGTCATTGACAGGAAGGACTTTATGGCAGATAATTTTATGTACTATGCTTAGGTCAGACTGAAGTCGGCGTAGTTCTAAGTTGTCTAAGCCCAAAATTTGGAGTCTGGTGGCATAAGGTATTTTATTGCAGTTAGAGGAATGGAGGACTCTTCTTGTAAAATATCTCTGGACTCTCTCGGTTGTATTTATGTCTGATATGCAGTGCGGGTTCCAGACTGATGAGCTGTATTCAAGAATTGGTCTAGCAAATATTTTGTATGCTCTAGTTAGTAGTACAACATTACCAGAGAAGAAGCTATGCAAGATTAGGTTAACAACTCTTAATGCCTTTTGGCAATGTTGTTACAGTGGGCTCGGGCACTTAGATCTTTAGAAATGAATACTCCAAGTTCCTTGACAGAGTGAGGGTCATCTACAAGGTCATGTCCATCTAATTTGTATTTTATGTTTTGATTTTTTTTGCCAATATGCAAGACAGAGCATTTGTTGGTTGAGATTTGAAGTTGCCACTTGTTAGACCAACCTGACACATTGTCAAGGTCTTTTTTTAAAAAAAAGTCTAGTAAACGTTGATTCTTTGCAGTCACAATGATAGATTTTATCCAAGATGATCTGTCCCCAGTTTGAGCTATCAGATCTATCAATGGTGAACTTCTTCACCACTGTAATTACAATCATGTTATCAGGCGCAAGTAACCAGGAACAGGACTTTAGTTCAAATCACTTTAAGTTTATTCTATGCTACCTATAGACAAGAATCTGATCTACTAACAGCCAAAGCAATAGACTTCAAGGGGGCTTGACTTGGATCTCTTGTGGGAGCATAGAGACTCCAAACTGATGATCTACTTGACCCTGCCCTAGAGCTCAGCCTGGTCATCTCCTACACATCCACCTTGCTACTAGTCATCCACTTCTTCTCTTTCCTCCCACTTCCCAAAGGAGATGGGATTTTGCCTAATGTGTTCAGAATGTGATCATTTTACCCTGGTGATTTGTTCTTCAAGTGAGAACTCTGGATTAATTTGTTCCATCATCCATTTGTTTTATTTTCGTGGCTACACATGGCAACAATGATGGCACTGCAAAATCAAACCCATGGACCATTCCATTCTAAATGTTGCAATTGTTAGCATTTAAGAAGAAACAACAGTCTCTACAGTTGAAGATCTCCTAAAATCTAATCCTAGGTGGATCCACTGAAACAATAAAATGGAAGTTGGGCATTTGTTTGAAGGAAGAATGTTTACAGGGCTGTTCTGGGAAGTGCTAGAAAAGAAGGCTCTACAGTTCAAAATTACTGAACTTACTATGTACATTTTTGTCTTAAAATTTTAGAAAGAGGACTGCTGTACCATCTTGCTGAAGGGCTTAATCTAACTACGGTGAGGCCCAAGATTCTAATCTGATGATCTTCTGCAGATCATTAAGATTAAATAAGTTTAGAAATTTGGTCACAAATCTTTGCTTTAAAAAAAAAGCAGACTGTAAAGTAGACTAAATAGAGTTTTTTTGGCTTTCCTCCCTTTTTCTTGATTCCCTCCCCATGCTGCGATTCTATCTTCAGAACATATCATTGAAGGAAGTTTGACAACAGAGCTCTGACCCACAAGTAGAAAGGAGAATAGGGTTGTAAAATAAAAGAAATAAAATGTGAGTCACCTGGACATTTGACGAGAAAATATGAAGGAGGAGTGGAATTGACGTGATTGCTTTTCTTAAAAACTAGTCATTGTTTTGCAATCTTGCTGGACATTGTAAGCTGGGACAAACATGTGAAAAAGAATACAGAATAACATAATTGGAGGGGACATTGCAGGTCTTTTAGTCCATCCCATTTCAGACAAATACCGTATTTTTCAGAGTATAAGACGCACCAGAGTATAAGATGCACCTTAGTTTTTGGGGAGGAAAATAAGAAAAAAGCTGATTGGTGGGTGGATCGGCCTCCCAGAATACCCCCAATCAACTGTTCCTGAAGATGAATTTTAGCAACAGGTTCATTGGTTGTGAGCTCTGTACCTTGCTTTTTTTTCTGCGTCTGAAAACCTCTGAAAAAAAGCCTCTGAGGCTTTTTTTCTGAAGCTCTGTTTCGGAGGCTTTTTTTCTGAAGCTTCTTTCAGAGGCTTTTATTCTGAAGGACTATCTGTACTCTGTTCAATCTCCTTTCTTTGGTATTGGTATATAGATTAACCTCTTCCGATCTGCTGGTTATTGTGTTATTCTCCAGATTTATTAGCATAGTTTGGTTAGAACCTTCACTGATTCTTCTTTTGTTGCTTGCCATATTATTTTAGATAAAAGCCTTTCAGAGGCTTTTTTTCTGAAGCTTCTTTCAGAGGCTTCTTTCAGCCTCTGAAATCTCCGTTTGCGTGGCTGGGCAGGGCTACATTCGGAGTATAAGACACACCCAGATTTTCACCCTCTTTTTGGGGGGAAAAAGGTGTGTCTTATACTCCCAAAAATACGGTAGTTGACCAATCTCTTTTTAAAAACCTCCCATGATGGAGCTCCCACAACTTCTGAAGGCAAGCCATTCCACTGATTGTTCTCACTGACAGGAAATTTCTCCTTATTTCTAGGTTGCTTCTCTCTTTGATTAGTTTCCATCCATTGCTCCTTGTCCTGCCTTCAGTTGCTTTGGAGAATAAGTTGAAGCAGAAAGAAGCAGGAAGAATTCAGATTCCCCTTCAACACATCAGCTCCTTAACTGTATAAGCATAGGAATTTAGGAACAATTGTCAAAATCAGTGTATATTTCAGCATAGGTCTCCTATTAAAAATAAGTGCTGCTTTTACTTGAGATGAAGCATTGGAGAAAGACCTGAGTCTTCCATTCCTGGTTCAACATTTTTACCACAGAACGAAGCTGGCTCTTTTATTTATTTATTTTCCAATGGCTTCAGTGGGCAAGCTTAGTGGTAAAATGGTGGCATGGGTGAAAAGCAAGATGATATTTTGGATTTGGTGACACCACCACCACCACCACCACCCCCTTTTTTTTTTCTTTCATCCACAGGAGGATTTCTTTCCAGAAATCAGTGCATTGTTTCCTGCCAAAATTCAGAGGGAAGTTGCATTGATATTTTGCAGTACTGCATGGCTGAAAATCAGCAGTATGATATTTGAGAACTCCATGAAGAATTCAGCATAACTGAATAATAGAGTAACAGAGCTGGAAAGGATCTTTAAGGTCTTCTGATAAAGGAAAACGTGGCTATAAGTTGCCTATTCCATCCTAAATCTAATACCCAAAAGACATAGTAGGTGGTTTCCCTGAGCAATGTTGAACCTCAGCTACTATACACCTACTCTTGTGTCTCTATGGTGGGAAAGTTTTTCATTTGTATTGACCTGAAAAGAGGCAGCTTCAATCAGATGTTTTCCAATTCAAGATGTCTGACACACACCAATATTGATAATTATGCTAATTAGTGCAAAGTAATTTGTTCTGTAGTCATGCCAACAAATGCTGGAAGAATAGAAAGGGCAGCACAATAGAAATAGGGTTTTATTTATGAGT